TTTGATGGATGCTTTGATCAAGCAGCGTGGTTCTTTAGTCTTTCTGTGTGTATGTGCTAAGTTGCTTCAGTCATGTCTAACTCCTTGTGACGCTATGGACTATAGCCCCCCAGGATCCTCTGTCCATGGAATTCTCCAGGCAAAAATACTGGAATGGGTTGCCATGCCCTTCTCCAGGGGATCTTCCCAACCCAGGGATCGAACCCATGTCTCTTATGTCTCCTGCATTGGCAGGCAGGTTGTTTTCTACTAGCCCCGCCTAGGAAGCCCTAGTCTTTCTGTACATGATTCTTATTCTCCAGCCAAGCAGGCTTTGTCATGCCTGAGTGATTAAAACTCTTCACAATTAATACATTAGGCTTATTTTCATAAAATCGTCCCTTACCTATCCCGATGATGCTCATGAAAAATCTATTTAATGATTTTTTTCAAATGATATCAATATCAGCAACTCTTCCGAAATCAACTCTAAGGGTAATATACAATTACTGGGAAAATGCTTTTTTGGTAAATTAACTCATTACAATGTTTATAACTTCTTGTATCTCTAAACCTTTAGTTAGATACATAGTTAAATCTCTGTGTAAGAGATTTAAAAGGGGAGAACTAAATTCAGGCTTCCCTGCTGGCTCAGATCGTAAAGAATCTGCCTGCAATGCAGGAGACCTGGGTTTGATCCCTGGGTCAGGAAGATATCCTGGAGAAGAGAATGGCTACTTACTCCAGTATTCTTGCCTGAAGAATTCCAGGGACAGAGAACCCTAGCAAGCTACAGTCCATGGGGTCACAAAGAGTCAAAGACGACCGAGCGACTAACACTTTAAACTTCTTAACTTTTTTAAATTTTAGGATAGGAGTCCCACAAGTGTTAACAAAGAGAGAGAGGAAGGGGGAAAAAATCCCTATAAATTGACCTCCCCACACAGATAACCAAGCTAAAAAGAGGGGGAAACAACCAGTGCACCGAAGAGTTCAAATGGTCACAGCAGAATCTGGAGAAAAGTTTCCTCCTAGACCATGAAGTAAAGCCTGAGACTTTAATATTTTAGACATCTTCCCAGTAGGGACGTCTTCATTTTACAACCTTCTTAAACCAAGAGGGGAGGAAGGAGATTTTATATTTTTTAAGTTAATTTTTCTTCTTATCTTGCCAACTATCTCTGTGGGACAGAGGAATGTAAATTCAGGATGCTCTTGAAAAAGTGCAGCATCAGAAAATTTATTGTAATTGAGGATTCCCATTTGTCCTACATTCACATGCCGTTTCTTGTCAAAATGTGAATTGGTCTATTTCTCCAGGAAAAGAAAAAATAAATCTCACAGATGTACTTGTCACCATCCTGGGCTTCTAGAATATGTTTATACAGAGGGCCAATCAGGCCTCATCAGCAAGTCTTTTACCCAGAAGGACTGCGTCAACCATTTGTGAGCTAACAGGAGTGGACATTCACTTATAGCTGTGCTTTTCATTCTAGCCCTTTAAAAGGAAGAAGACAGAATCCAGTGTTGAGATTTGAGTGTATTTCATATATTTAAAATTATTCTTGGCTAGGAGATAAATAAGAATTGACAGGAAAAAAAAAAACTGCATTTCTTTTTGTTTTTCAAGAGTGCATGTGATGCCTCCTTTGCTCATTTTCCCTGGCTGGTTTGACTTCAACTCTCTCAACTCCTTCTAAATTTTGCAATGCATGGAGGTGCAACACTTTCTCAGCTTTTCTCCTCAGTCCTCTTCCTCTCTGGGTGTTTCCTGGCTTCAAACAGCTTAATGATAACAATGCCCAAATTTGTTTCCATCCCAGATCTCTTCCTTCCATGCTAACTGCCTCATTAACATAAGTCTAACTGGCATTTCAACTTGACACTTCCAAAATGGAACCTAGGATTTCCACCCCCTCAAATCTTGTCCTTCCTCATCTCAGTAAATGGCATCTACCTCTTTTTTCCTATTACCTTTGTGACCTCATCTTTGACCATTTTGCTCATTGCTGCATCCTTGGCACTCGGAACAGGGCCTCCTGTATAGTCAGTAGCTCATAAGTACCGACAAACAGAATAAATGTTTCATTCAAGATAGAAAATGACAGACTAAAAATGGAATGCTTAAAGACTGGGGCTGTTGGCAAGTAAAATCCTGAAATCATTTAGAAACAAGAAGGACTCCTAAAAGTCATTTAATTCAGGGGTCCCCAGCCTCCAGGGTGTAGACCAGTACTTCCCGACAGATGAGCGGTATTAGATCACAAATAAAGTGCACGACCAGCTTCCCTGGTGGCTCCGACAGTAAAGAATCTGCCTGCAACACTGGAGACCTGGGTTCAATCCCTGGGTCAGGAAGATCCCCTGGAGAAGGGAATGGCAACGCATTCTAGGATTCTTGCCTGGAGAATTCCAAGGACAGAGGAGCCTGGCAAGCTACAGTCCATGGGGTCGCAAGAGTCAGACATGACTGACTGACTAACACTTTCACTTTTTCACTTTCAAAGTGCACAATACATGGAATGCAACTGAATCATCCCAAAACAACACCCCCACCCCCAGTCTGTGGGAAAACTGTCTTCCATGAAATCAATCCCTAGTGCCAAAAAGGTTGGGGACCACTGAAAGTCACTTCTTTATTTTACAGGTTACAAATTAAGTCTTTGAAAGCTTAAGCAATGTGCTCAAGGTCACAGTTACTCAACAGAGACAATCTGCTCCTGTTTTACATTAATTTCTCTTTCAAGAAACTACAGTCATTTGCACTTTCAAGCAATTGTTTTTTTCAGAATTTTTCTCATGTATTGAGCATTCTGGTCTTCTAAAGTGATTCTAGAATATTACCATGGGAATTAACAATACACATTCTAGAGCCAGTCTTTCCAAGTTCACATCAGGCTACTCTGCTTACCTGTGACCTTAAACAAACTAGGAAACAAACAATTTATAGACTGAAAGGGCAATCTACAGCCTCTATAGAAAATAGAAAGGAGTTTATTCAAAAATTTTAAGTGGGACAGCCATATGATCCAACAATACCACTCCTGGATATTTATACAAAAATCAGGATCTCAAAAAAGAAGGTGCACTACCATGTTAATTATAGCATTATTCACAATAGCCAAGATGTGGAAACAACCAAAATATTTATCTAGAGATGAATTGATAAAGGAAATACAATATATACAGACAATGGAGTATTAATCAATCTTGAAAAAGAAGAAAATTTTGCAATATGCAGCAACATGGATGAACCTCAAGGGCATTATGCTAAGAGAAATAAACCAGTCACCAAAGGACAAGTAATACATGATTCAACTTATATGAGGTTATCTAAACAGCCAAATCCACCGAAACAGAGTAGAATGGTGGTTGCCAGGGGTTGCAGGGAGAGGCCTTGTTTATTGTTCAAGGGCTGTAAAGCTTCAGTTCTGTAAGATAAATAATTCCTAGAGATCTGCTATCCAATATCAGATTCCATAGCTAATAATATTATATGTTAAGTCGCTTCAGTTGTCTCTCTTTATAACACTATGGTCTGTAGCCTGCTAGGTTCCTCTGTCCATAGGATTTCCCAGGCAAGAACACTGGAGTGGGCCACCATGCCCTCCTACAGGGGATCTTCCCAACTCAGGGATCAAACCCAGGCCTCTTAGTCTCCTGCATTGGCAGGCAGGTTCTTAACCACTAGCGCCACCTGGGAAGCCCCAGTAATATTGTATTGTACACTTAAAATGTTGTTAAAAGGATGGATCCCATGTTATACGTTCTCATGACAATAACAAAATTTAAAAATACATTTAGGAAGATAATGAGGAAGATTTTTTAACCCTATCAATCATCAATTACAGAGTAATCTCCCAAAGGAAATGTGAAAATGTCATTTAAGACATTTGAAACCAGACTGAAGGAAAGCACACACATAAAGTAGGCTTTGTCCTTCTCACTACACAGGTGACAAGACCCACACCATCATGACCTAAGACAGCGATGGACTCACAGCCCACGGGCACTCTCCAGACCACCCACTAATGGGAGGGAGGAAAGAGGAAAGCTGGGCTAGAACTGATGACTCACTTCAGGACGACTTGCTCAGCGTGTTCCTGGCTCAGTTACAACATCCCCAGGACACGAGGAAAGGAGCACTTACACCAGGTCACCATTCTGCAGCTCAGAGAAGTTTCCAGAGGCTTTTCTCCACTCTGCCCTACTTTCAGAATTGGCCTATGTTGGGTTGTGTTTTGAAATAAGAAACAGCCTCTGTAGAAGATCTGACCATACACTGTATAAATGACAGACAGACCTTAGACCAGAAGTCAGTCAACTGTGACCCAAAAAACAAATCTGGTTCACAGCTTGTTACTCTAAAAAAAAGTTTTACTGGAAGACATCCAAAGCCATTCATTTGCATAGTGTCTATGGCTGATTTCAATGGCAGAGCAGAGTAGTTACAAAAAAGACCACAAGTACCACAAAACTTCAGGTTTTACTATCTGACTCTACTAAAGCTGACCCCTGCCTCAGACTAATAACTTTGAGAATACTAATTCAAGCATCTGTAAGGTAAAACATGTTATAAAAATTGATGCCTTCTTCCCTTCTTTTAAGTTATAAAATAGAAAATAAAATTTGAATTTGAATAGAATGTGCCAACTTTCTATGAATCTAGTCCAAGATATCGATGCTAGAGGCTGGAAATCACATCTATGATGGAATGAGAAAGACCTGAGTGTGAATCCCAGATTTGCAGTATACCAGCAGTGTGACCTTTGGCAACTACATATTCTTTCTAGCTTCACCTTGAAATAAAGCAAAAAGTGTTACTAGCTCATAGAGTTCTTGCAAGGAGTGAATGCACTACTATATGCAAAGCCCAGTGCCTGGTACATTAGCAAGTGCTCAAAAAACTATCTGGTTTTATGATTACTGTATTATCAACAACTTAAAATGTAGGAAAGTCAGCTTTCTGAGATTGAATACAAAGCTGATGAAATACAAAGACATCACTAGTTATGCATTACCTGGGCAGTTTTCTGCATGATCTCCACAGAGAAGGCCATCATTTTCAGGACTTCTGGTTGAATTCCCATCTGCCAGAACACAGTGGAGGATCACTAGACCTTCAAGTTCAAAACAGAACCAAAACAAACATGAAACCTTGAAAACATGCTCAAGACAAAAGATCCTATCAAAGTCTCGACCATTTATGAAAATAACAAGCCTGTGGCTCCCATTTCCAAGTTATTCTCTTGCAGCATCGAAGGGGTACCTGGGCCAGCATGTCTCCTTTTTTTAAGCTCAAGGCTCAAGACAGAATTTTCAAGCCAGTATCACTTACTGGGCTTCCCCGGTGGCTCAGACATTAAAGAATCTGCCTACAATGTGGGAGACCTGGGTTCGATCCCTGGGTTTGGGAAGATCCCCTGGAGAAGGGAATGGCAACCCACTCCAGAATTCTTGCCTGGGAAATCCCATGGACAGAGGAGCTGGGAGGGCTACAGTCCATGGGGTTGCAAAGAGTCAGACACGACTGAACAAACAACACACACACAACACTTCTATCTGATGAGACCTGGCCCTATAAGTGAGAAGACTTAGCCATAGCTGCGATGAAGCCTTATCCTATGAACAGAAGAACAAAGGGAGTTCTCAGCCACCTGGTGAACTTCGGGGAGGAGGGATAATGAACCCATGTGGCAATGTATTTTCTCCCCTGGTCTTCACATACCCAGTGCTTCTCAAGTTTTAACTACTGAGTGTGCTTCCTTCTGGGGAGATGCAAACTAGATATTCAATTCATAGGAACTATTTTAAAATTTGAAGTTCCTCCAGCTTAGTAACTCGGTCTCTGAGAATGACAGGCCTCATGGAAAAGCAAGGGAAGGAAAGGAACACCGTGCTGAGGTTAGGAAAGTTTAGAATACAAAGGGTAGTCCTTGCAGGGATTCAGATTCAAACACACCAACAGTAAAAATCACAGTAAAGGTAATCAGGGCAATCTGACAATCTTAAGAAATTGTTAGTGTCAAGTGTGATAGGAGAAGGAAATGGCAACCCACTCCAGTATTCTTGCTTAGAGAATCCTATGTACAGAGGAGCCTGGTGGGCTGCTGTCCATAGGGTCGCATAGAGTCGGACATGACTGAAGCGACTTAGCATGCATGCATGCATTGGAGAAGGAAATGGCAACCCACTCCAGTAATCTTGCCTGGAGAATCCCAGGGACAGAGGAGCCTGGTGGGCTGCCATCTATGGGGTCAACAGAGTCGGACACGACTGAAGCGACAGCAGCAAGTATGATAATGATTTTGTGGTTTAGATGTTAAAACCAGAATCTATATCTCTTAGAGATATGTATTTAAATACTTATTAAGGAAATTAATGTATCTCTGATTTGCTTTAAAATAATCCAAAAAGGGAAGACAGGTGTGTGGCAGTGAGGGAAAGGCATAGATGAAACAAGATTGTTCACATGTTGACCATTGTTGAAGCTGGGTGGTATATTTGTCAAGGTTCACTCTGCTGTTGTCTCTACTTTTACATATACCTTTAAATATCTGTAATAAGAAGCTGGAGAGGAGAGGGGAGAGGAGGAATGATTAAACTGCTTGGGAGCTGGATGATCCTGAGTTTATAACCTGTTTTTGCCACCTTACAGCCATGTACCATGGGCAAGTTTCATAACCTCTCGGTTTCCTTATTGGCAAGATGGAGATAATTATTATGTCTTCTTCAGAGAGCTGTCGTGAGGCTCCAACCAGCTAAGTATACAAAGCACTTAATGCAGTGCTAACACTTAATCAGTACTCAGTTAAATTACTCATTATTATGTAACTAGTAGGAACAGAGTGACTTGCCCACTGGTTGTGTTGACAAGGTTCTAAACTGCACATGTCCTTCAAGTACAATTAAACTCAACAAACATCCACAAGCACCCCCAAAACACACCTGTGGACAGGAAATGATCCCTCAAACTCTTCCAAAGCTGCTAAGGCAGGTAATCAGCCAACCAAGTGATCAAAATACAAAGTGATAGTATTGTACCAGATAACAATAGAATCCAGAAAGTTCAAAGGCTGAAAGAGTTTCAAAAAGAGTTTTACAAAACAGAGAGTTTTTTCTATCTCTATCGAATTGGGGGAAAAAAAATTTTTTTTAAAGAGGTGGTATCTAGCATTGGAAACAATGAAGAGAAATAGAAACTCATATCCATTGATAAGAGGAAAATTACTACTACTCTTCCACAGGACAATTTACCAGGACTTTCAGCTTTTAGCTAAAAGCTTAAAAATTGTCCAAGTGCTTCAATCCAGTAATCTCATTTCTAGCAATTTTTCCCAAGGAAATAAATTAAAATACATAAAAAGGTTTCACTACAAAATTTCTACATGTGACATGGCTTATAAACAAATTAGAAATTGGCCTAAATATCTAACAATAGAGAACTGAGTAAAGATATAGGAAATATTTCCATGTAATAAAATGCTCTTCAGCCATAAAAAATTATTTTTAAACATTTCAAAATATCCCTCAGTAAGAAAGCAGTTTATAGAATAGTAATTAGTGAGATTTGAGTGTTTTTTTCTGCATGTGTTTGTGATAAATATGAAAATAACCACATAGATAAATAGTTAAAAAAAAGATGGGTAAGTAAGTAGATAGAGTTGCCCACAGGGTTAGAAGAATTTTTCCTTAATTATCCTAATTTTCACTTTCTAATTTTTCTACTTGACTATTCTGTTTGTTGAAACAAGAAAAAAGGAGCAGCTCAAATTTAAAAACAAAACAAAACACAATTTGGATACCAAATTTCTATATATTTTTCTGCCTTTATCCCTATTACCTGGCTCCTCCTTTCACACTTAGAACAAACCAGAAACAGTCATTTAAGACTTCTCAAGCATAGGAATTGTATATTTCCCAGCTCTGAAATCCTGTTATTTAACACAGAGCACAAGGGATATTCAACAAATGTTGATAGATGAACGATCTTAGATTAATTTATGAACATGCAAAACAAACATTAAGTTCAAAGATCCCAATGTCAATGTCCAGTGGAAAATTTTATCCTTTTTTATTATAAAACAGGTTTAAATCATTTTTAAAATCCCACATATGGGCTTTCTTCATGGGCAGAATCAGAGGCATTAATTCTTCAGTTAATCTATTCTGATGATGGAAATTGAAAAAAAAAAAAACTAAATCTCACAGAGATTTAACATCTGCAAACTAAGGATGACAATCTCTTCATCTTAGGAGTATTATAAAAACACAAATTAACATAAGAAAAGATACACACATGGCTTGGCAGATAGTGTACAACTTTTAGTCTTCTTGAGCTCCTTCCCTTATCACTTTATAATTTAATACAACATTCTTTATTCCTACACGACAGAGGGAGTCCTGATTCCATGGAAATCCTGCCAGAGTCTCCGAACACTCTGGCAGGCTGTGCCCAGACTGTCTTCTGCTAAGGCTCACCCTACATGCTGGCATCAGCTGGCAAAGAAATTCCACTGGAGAGAGCCCCTGGGAGGACCCCTTGGGTTAGACATTCTCAGGCCAATCAGACACCAAGTTCAAGGCTCTGGGATGAGGTACATAGTTCCTCCTACTCCCATGCAATAATCTTCATCAGCTTATGGTCCTGAACCAAATCGAGCTTGATTTTGAAGAGCAATTTACTTGGTCTGCATAGTTTTTTAAAACTGAATCATGATGGTTCATATCAAGCCTGGATTTTTCTGCTTCTATTTAAAAAGTGGAAGGCCTGGCAACACAGATCTGAAACACCTTCATAGCAACAACTAGCTGGAACCTAGGAGCACGTGACCTCTTTAAATGCCACAGACTCCACCAGGCTTGCTGAGCTCATTGATTTTAACTTCCTAGACCCTGACAGGAATCTGAGTGTGTGATCCATATGGAGAGACTCAGAAATCAGAGAAGTGCTCACAAAAGCATCTACTCAATATTGAAGGCTGCTTCAAAGAGAAAGGATGCTCCTGTTTCATCCATAATTCAACAGATATTTATTAAATATTTTGGGTTTGGCACTGATGCAAGACACTGAATGTTCAAAAAGATAACAGATACCATCACTACCTTCAAGGAACTCATATTCTCATAAGGAAGATAGACACACAAACCTATAAAATATAATGTGATAAGCAAAACAGAGGTAGCATGGGAATAACAACAGGGTGGAGAATCAACTTGCATACCAGCAAAAACTTCACAAAGAAGGTAGGAATTACAGTGACTTTTTAATAGGTAATAAATGCTTTTTTAAAACATCAATAACTTCTATAAAACAAATACTGAGTTATCAAGATAACATGGTTATATTATATTGTTTCAGCAGTTGACAATATTTATGTGGTAATGATAAAGTAAATACTGAGGGAGGTGAAAGTCACTCAGTCATGTCCGACTCTTGCAACCCCATGGACTACACAGTCCATGGAATTCTCCAAGCCAGAATACTGGAGTAGGTAGTCTTTCCCTTCTCCAGGGGACCCAGGGACTGAACCCAGGTCTCCTGCATTTCAGGTGGATTCCTTACCAGCTGAACCACAAGGGAAGGCCAAGAATACTGGAGTGGGTAGCCTATCCCTTCTCCAGCAGATCTTCCCAACCCAGGAATCGAACCATGGTCTCCTGCATTGCAGGTAGATTCTTTACCAACTGAGCTATCAAATGTGTCATAGAATCAAGACCAATAATTAGCCAACATAGACCATGTACATAGACCATATAGAGTTGTGATTAATCATTATCTATGCAGTGCTCATCATTAAGTGTTTTGAGTATTACCCTTATAGTAACTATACTGGAATGAGAAGAGAAACTCAACAAGGCTAAACTTGACAAGTCAAGAAATAATATTACAAACAAACGGTTTAGCAATACAGAGGTAAATACAGAAGAAGCACCTTAAAGAGTCAAAAGTGGTTGATTCTAGCAAGGTGAAGAGCCAGGAAGGCAGGAACAAAGATCTCTTATTCAATATTATGATCTTTTTAGCATTATTTGATTTTTTAAAAATCTGTGTACATGTATTACTTTATTTCAAAAAATTAATTTTTAAGAAAAAGACCAAAAAATTGTAACTAACTAG